CAAATATATGTATTTATAATTTCAAAATAGATACTTGATACGACATTCTTTTACGACATTTTTTCCCTTAGATTTCTGTTTGAACGGCTAGCGTTATCGATCAATAATTATATTTTTTAGTGTCCTTCATTTCATAAGTATTAGGAATGCATGTTATTTTTTCATATTAATAAGATTAGTATATACATCATAATTTGCGTAAGACAGCCCACGTATTAGTAGAGAATTATTAAAGGGCGTGTATGACCAGTATGACGTTGGGTTTTTAGCTTGTTCTGTACAACGATTGTGTCCTTGAGCTTAGAACACAAAGCAAATGAATAACTGTGGAACTAATCCAGTTTGCAAACTACACAGCAATATATAATTCAACCTTGGATTTCCATTCTTTAAGCATCAAAAGCTGTGACAATTCTCCATAATACCAGTTTACCCAAAATAGTCAAAATGATTGAAAAAGAAAATTTAAGTAAAGTGTCATTATAAGGGAGGCGTTGGTCGCGAAAGTCGTAATCTAAATAACTCAAACATAAAGAATATCATTATCAAATATGTATTGCTTTACTATATCTATTTCTATTTATTTATTTTTATTTATTTAAGTATATAACTTACACTCTAATTAATGTGATTATTTATTCAACAACCAAAGCAATCGTTGAGAAAATACAATGTATATATATTAGTGCGTATAGTCGTTGGTTGCGAAATCGTAATCTACCATTAACCATTTTCTGATGACGACATAATTAATGTCCAAATATTGAATCCCGACACGATGGCGTGCAATTGGAGTATTTATTATACTATCCTACCATTAACAAACATAAGGAATATTAATATAAAAAAATTGCTTTACTTTATCTATATCTCTTTATTTATTTTTATTTATCTGAGTAAATAACCTACAATCAAATTGTGATTATTTATTCAACAACTAAAGCAATCATTGAGAAAATACAAATTTTCAAATATGAGTGCGTGTAGAAGCCGATATGGCTTGTATTAACTTGATAAAAAAAAAAACATAGGCCTACATCACAGTAAAATAAAACAACTGTAATGACCTTATGACATTTTTAGGTTTAGCTACTATATAGTGCTTAATGGGACAGACATTATGCAGGTAATCATTTTCAGACATTATGCAGGTAATCATTTTCAATGCCTTTAGGCTTATGTAATAGGATATGTATCAAGTACCATCCTCTACATAGTGTTTTTCCAGAGTTGGGAGGAAAGTCATTTCAAGATCGTTCCTCCAACAAAGGCAGTTCCAAATTACTGGTTAAAAACTTTGTCAAAATTGTCGTTGATTTTGATTTTTACAGTTCTTTGTAGACCTTTGTACGTGTTTGACTAGAAGAAGAGAAAGTCTTTTAACATAAAAACGGGTCTATGCCCAAAAGATCTCTTTGATTCTAGATGTCAATAAATCGTGCAAATCTTATAGATTTTTTTGTATATTATTTCTGTATTGATTGCCTTTACATCACCTTCAATGTATAATTCGTTCA